GGGGGGGGGGGGGTCCTCAAAATAAGTGCCCCTATGGGGGGTATGGATAATTTTCTAGGGGAAAAATTTTCTCATCCTTCGGACAAGCACTATATTATTATATTTGGTGGTTTAAAACCCAAGAGTTCTTGTCCAAAAAGTTTTGCTCAAAACTTGATTCTCGAAAAATAATTGGGCGTTTAATTGTCTTCTTGATTCACTTAATTCTTTCCTAGTATGCAAGATTTTTCTTTTCTCGGTTGCTTTGAAAGAAACCTAAGCACGAAGACTGTATTTTGTGGACTTTTTGTGATTTCACGATTATAAACTCCCGAATTTGAGCCTGAAAGTGAGTTGCATACGTCTCAACAGAAGTAATTCTACTGTAATTTGAACTGTTTCATGTCAAAGGTTTACACATCTGAACTTAATTTCTACCTGTCCCGGACAATCAGACACATGTTTTGGTGCACCCTAAGTACACATTATGTCAGTCTGACTGTTGTTGGTTAATATGGTGACCTATTTCATTTTAGAACGGGGAACGTTTGAGTTTCAGAAGCATTCCTTCCATAAACTGAAGAGAGCCTATTACATGATGATAGATCTCAAGTAAGTGCAGAAGCCAGGATGCAATTGCGTTGGAGACAGGACAACGCAATTCTAATATGGTAGCTTTTGTTGGACCCTCTTGTGTGGACTGGTATTTGGGCACCCCTTTTGATTTTCTGCAGGGACCGCCACAGGTTCACATACTCTGGTTTTAAGAGTGATCACGTTTTTGCTTACTGTTGCCATGTTATTCACAGGGAGCAGAGAAAGCAGAGAAGTCACTTGTGACCTTGATTACAGTTTTAAAATTTTACGGTTAATACAGATAGCGCGATTTGCCAAGTTAGAACTGTTGTAGAATCTAATATGAACTCGACTGATCAAACCATCATGGTCTCGTGTTAGAAACGTGGTAAAATATTATTCAATGCTCGGTGAGGGGGGCCAATCAAGAAGTGAGGCATGAAAGATCGCATTACGGTTTGATCCGCTAAGTTCATAATCGACTATACGGTAAACGAAAGCAAATCTCGCTGTCTGTATCAACTGTAACATTTTAAACTGCAACCAAGGCACTAATACACCAATGTAGCTCCTCTGCGCCCTGTGTCTTATTTTGTAGTCTTTTTGTCACATTCAAGTCGATCATGTACCATGTACTTCCTTTGTGTACAAAGGTAAAAGGCGCTGCAGCGTGCAAAGAAAGTAGTATCCGATAGCCCGGGGCTAGTGGGTTTTGCTATCGGGCTAGTGAATTCTGTTCTTAACTTGCGCGACGGGCAAGTGAAGTATTTGAGGAATTTAACTTACAGGAGAACTATGAAATCACTTCTGCTCATCAAAAAGTTTTTGGGGCTAGTTGAAGTGACGTT